TGATAAGAGAAACAGCTGTGTAGTTTCTGAGCAAATGTCAGTCTCTCGAGCTGCAATGTGTGGAAAGGACACAAAAGGGTTGAGGGTGAGGCTCTTCCACACTGATGGACAGGAAAAGTGGTGCCTTGGTGGTGCTTCTGGACAGTAGCTGGTTTTGCCGGTGGAGGAATTTTAGGGGGCTCATTTTTACCCCTTTGTTCATCAGGATGTTCAGTACTCCTGTCCAGGCATACCTGGATTTGGGGGAGGAAATAGTTTGCAGGACTTCTGCTCCTGCGCATCAGACAGCATACAAAATTGGACAAAAGGCCTGCCTCTCAGGAGCTGTAAATCAGAACAACTTGCTGGTTCCAGCTTACAGTAGGTCAGGGGGTGGCTGACAACTGGAGAGGCACATGAAGAAGCTGAAGAAATATTAACATACCTAGCTATATAGATTTAGAAATTGAACCTATATAAAAACATAGAATCAGACGCAAAGCTGATGCTCTGTTGTGAGCATTGCTCAGCTCCTTGTCATTATTAACTTTACTTATATTTTTGCCACATGGTAACCAGCAGAGCTGGGCTGGGTTTCTGCTCTAGATTATATGTATTTGGAAAAAATCCAGACAGAATGCTTGAGCTGTCTTCTAGACTGAGGTAACTGTTTGTTCACACTTAAAAAAAAAAATCTGCTTTTCCCTCCTTTTCTGGGAGGAAGGAAGTCTGATTTACAGAATTACCAAACTCTAAGACATGAAATAGGAGTGAATGGGAGCTGTGCTCTGAGTACGTTACATGACTATTGAATGCTAAGTGCTGTAAATACGTGGTTCTTAGGCATCTCAGAATGGATACCTAGGATTATTAAACACCTTTACCTTGATCTTTTTAGAATTCCCCATGTTAAACAGGGATAATAAATTATTACTTTCTCACCCTTCTCACTTCACTAGGGCAGCATAAAGACAAATACATGTTTTTGTGCTAATATTGTAATATTAGTGTTAATGTATTAACATAATGTAATACACTAATATGCATATATTAAATTTTTTTTTGCATTATAAATAAATGTGTTACTATAATACCTCAAATGAGGATATACCATGAGGATGAACACTATAAGAAAACCCATGAGGAAATGCATAAAAGTTTTCAGAGCAAGTTTGATTCACATGCAGCAAATAAAGCTCAGGGCCTCTCCCTGAATGCATAATATTCACTGCCTTCTCTCCAAATGAGCACCATCTCGTCTGTATCTTAAATATGGTACTTCCTATCTGGACACAATGTTAATAATAATCTTCTAATTCTATTTCTTGTATATGGTTTCTAGGTTTTGAAAAAGTGAAGTGCAAAGACACATGTTTCAGCCTTGGGCATCCTACGGGTTAAGCCCAAGAATGAAACCTTTAGATACCCGATACAGTTCTCTGCCAGTTGAACTGAGAGTAATGGAGATATCACTGGAAATTTAGCCCTTTCAGGAGGGTGGACCCAGAAAGGATTAGCCTTCCTTAGCTGCTAGGAAAGCCCTATGAAGCTGGCAAGTGAAGAATGCCCAGTGTGCAAAGAAATGTCAGGAAATGCAGCTCTTCATCACGGAGTCCATGACGTAGACTCTGATTTGTCAAAGAGCTTTAAGCTGGCTAAATCTGGATGGATTTTACAGAGAATGGTAAATAACACATTCTTAACTTAGTGGCTGGTTTCCCAGCTTCAAACATGAGTGCTCCCAAGCTTTCCAAAGAAAAGGTAGGAATTCTTTTTACTATGGATGCAAAGAACAGTATCATTTTCTCTTTCGCCTTTAATTTTTGGAATAATGTTAACCATTATGGATGAAATTCTCCAAAGTTCTATTGCAAAGCAAATGCCCACCATGGAAACGTTCAAAATACCCAAACAGCTACGGGCTAAAGTTTGGCAAATTGTAAAGAAATAATAATAAGGTCTTGCAAGCGTAAGTAATGGGCTACCTAGTCATAGGTGATGCTTGCCTATAACATCGAACATGACTTGGAAATAAAATCTGACCTGCTCCTTGTGGCTTCTCTACTCATGTTCTTATAGAAAGTATATTCTTCTATAGCAAACTTTGTGAATCATTTCTGATTTTGCTGTAACAGAATGATGGCAGGAACAGCCTACACTGAGTTCTCTGATTGCTTGGTATGTCTAACCTACATATCAACTTCTTACACTTGTCTTTTGACATTCTACTGGAATTTAACAAGATGAAACAGAGATTAATATTAATGGAAAAGTAGAAATTACCATACATTTGTTCTCTGTTTTCATCAGGTGTCAGACACAGAAGCCAATTTAAGAATCTAAACAGATTCCGATAATTTCCTCAATGCTTGATGGTTATAATTAAATTAATGCTGGGAATCTGAACTGACACTTCTACCATACTGTGAACATGGGCTCTTAGCTCCTAATTACAGAGTTTTTCATGCTTCCTCTGTCACCTAGAACTATGTGGGGACCAAAATCATATTAATTTTGTGGCTCTAGTGCTGGAGAGGGATATAGCCAGGGAAAGGTCTGCCTGTCTCCTAAAGTCACCTGTAAATCCTCTCTGTGCTGAACCACATGTAAGTGTCAATAAGCATAATCAGAAGCACGGGGGCAACATAGCTGGCCAGGCAGGGCAGTCAATTTAAGAAGCCACCACCCTGTGTGGCACCCTGCCTTTGAAAATAGCACACTACTAAATAATGCATGCTGGTATGCTGGCCAAGTTAGCCTCACCTTGCCCAGACCTGTTGATACAATATGCATTTTTGTCTGTCTGGAAGCGTTCTGGGTCTTAGCAGCCATAGCTGTCTCTGCCCTTGGGATCTGAGACAGAAAAGGCTTGCAGCCACACAAACAGAGCATGACGCACCAGTCTGAGTACCATATTTGAAGCAAACTTGTGCTGCTTTTGCCGGTATCCTTCCTAGAAGTAGGAAAAGTCTGACTTCCCTAGCTATGTTGAGATCCAGTGGTAACCTAGTGGTTGCCTAGTGCTTCTGCAGCGTATGGATGAGATGTATTTCAGTGCAATTCTTTACGTCCCTAGCTGAGTTCAGTGGAATGACCGAAGAGGTGGTTCATTGTTAAAGATATCCTTTCAGGGAAGGGAAGGGAAGTGCTCTCTTTATTGCTTTCTCATTCTTCACTTACTTCTTAGCTTTTTCCTGTTCTCCTGCTCTGGATTGATCATTCATGCTGATATGATGACAAGACATGATTTTGATGATGAAAGCTCTAGTATGAATACTCACCCAAGAGATGAACTGGTATGCAAATACTTAGACTCAGTGACATGAGTGCTTAGAGAAATCTTGCAGATACTTGACCTACTTGTGAAAACTCCAAGCAGTTGCCTAGCTGTTTTCAGTGACATCCTTAACCCTTGGTGTTGTAACTCCGGGATGATACTACTCTCCAAGATGGAAATTTAAGGTCTTCCTTCTTCCTCAAGGACAACTTTGATAGGAGAGAATTAAGGTGATCAGCTATGGAACTGAACTATAACCAGGATGAAAAACTATGGGATCTTCCCAAAGAACACTTCCATTAAGAAACACCTTACCTATGTGAACAAAAGCAACTCAAATTTTAATATAAACAGTGTTAGTGTAGATGACAGGTACAAAGGTGACATTCCTTGAGTCCAAGATCCACTGTTTGTCTAGAAATCAGGTTCAGCACAAATAATATGTATGAAAAGTTTCCCCTACGCTGACAACGGGCCTTTATTAATAATTAATAGTATCTCTAGATACTGAAGGACAATTCATTCCCTGTGCTTGGTAAGTCTAGCACTGACAGTGCTTGTCAGCATCCGTTGGGAGGAAAACTGATGATGAGCCCTGGAAACAAAAGGTAACAGAGTTGGCAAATTCAGTTGACATTCAGACCACTGAGTAGTCACTGTATAATAATGTTGAGCCACTTCTTGTATTTTATGAAATTAATTAAGCTTCAAAACCTTTCTACATGCTATATTTTTAGATATTTTCATGCATTTTCTGGGTAGTGAAATAGCAGTAGACAGATGAAGGTTCACATTTTTATTTCAGTATTTTATTTGCTGCTCAGGAAACGGTCCCATACCTCCCGCCAGCTGGAAGGGTAATCCCCGCACACTATTAAGGACAGCCTCAGACTCCCGATTCTCAGAGCTGTCCTTTAAGAACAGTTCTTTCAGGAGGAAACAGCCTTTACTTGCTCTTCACGCAGGTCGAGAGTTGAACTGATGACTGAGTTAGTGAAAGGCTTGGAACCCAACAGCCAGCCTGTGGCTCAGTGGAACAAACAAAAATAGGTTTTCTGAAATGCAAATGGAAAAAACTCAACAATCATCTGCTGAATTTCTACACCGCAAACGTGCATGGACACATTTTTTTGTACTCATCCCTTGGTACATGTGCTCTGAATATTTTTCCTCACTTTCTTTACTTTCTCTCAGATACCTACAGAGTGTGACAGATGAAGATCCCCCTTGCGCAGATTCATTCATTTCACAGGACATTCGAGGTATGACAAGTAAGAGTTTAACCCATAATATTGGATTATCCAATCCATCTCCCTGCCAGCTCTGGGTTATTCCCTAGGGCGCCTCTTCTAATGTTACTTCCAGACTAATTTTAATTTGGGACATTCCTGATAATCTCCCTATCTACCTGAAATAACCTCAATTAAAAAAAAAAAAGGGATGGTCTTGAAAAAAAAAAACTACAAAGAAATCAATCCCTCATCCATTACTAGGTTTCTCTTTTGTTCTGGAGCCACACGTGTAACCCGGTTAGACCTGTTCTCTTTGAATACGGAGGACTGAGCTGGCCTTATGCAAATGTTCCCAACCTCGTCTTGGTTGTTGTTGTTGCGGACCCAATCAAACAAGGAGGAAGTGACCTAAGGAATTCCCCTATTGGCTGCCTGAGTGTTCAGCAAAATGTTTTAAAATTAATATCACATCCATTTATCTTCACTCTTGTGAGTCTTTAGGAGAGATAACCTAGTACCTGTGTTTACCTAACCTACTGTTCTTTAGCCAGTCTTCCCATTGCCAGAGTTAAGGATTTCCACTCCAGAATCTGCAGCTAAATGAGGTAAGATGTTTTGGGTATTTTTTAAAATATATTTCCTTCTAAATTAACACCACTGAAAATAAGACAGAGAAGAAGCGTCCACTGGACTCATGCCCACCCTACTGAGCCCCTCCCTTCCCACTTTGGAACGGAAACTAAGCTCATTTGATCAAAAGGCTTTTTAATGTTACAATAAAGACTTCTGTGTTTGTGTTTTGAACTGGCATCTTACTTCTGTTTAAATATTCCTGTTGTATTTATGCTTGATTAGGGCCAGATCTGCTGCCTTTGCTCACCCAGAATGTCATTGACTTTGAATTGAGCCAGTGACTTCAGCAGGTTTACTCAAAGTTTTCTGAGGGTCTTTTTTATCGTGCTAAATCTAACAATATTTTGGGTCCTAAGTGGGCTACTTTTACCATAGAGTGGTCATTTGTTTAGTAAAGCAAAGGGTGAGAAAGTGGACATATTAAATAACATTGAGAGTGCTAATGCTACAGAACAGGGGGATGCTTCATAATGACGGTGTTTCTGTTGGTTCTAGTGATGAGGCTATTGAAGGTGATTGTGCTATTAAAATATCCTAAAGCACATTCATCATTTTGGCTGGTTTTATCCGCAAGCCATTCTCCCGGTAGTTCCCGTGGCGAGATGCCAGGTGAGGGGGATTCTGCTGTTCTTAGTCCACTCTAAATTGAAGCGCTCCGCAGAAGCCAATTCAAGCACTGTGTAAGTAAACACAGTGTGAGTAGAGGCCTGAAGTGTCTTTGCTTGTTTAATTTGTTTCACTTCCAATGGTAATGTTATTTGAATAAAACCAGAATTGGCCCCTTAAGGTATAGACACAGCAAGAAAGAGAATTTTTAAAGTCTGTTTAAATAATAGTAGAAATGAATGTAGCAGAAGAAGTTGCTCATGATTTACATGACTGGGTAAAAAATGTGCTTGCATTTCACCCCAGGAGGGATTTTAGGTAGATACTCTTATGTGTATGGTTATATAGTTATTGAATTTTATTGATAACATACTTTTGAATTATTTCATCTAAAATATTATATGTCACCTTTACATCTAAGATACATCCAACTATTTTTTTTATGTTCTTTGGAAAATGAAACCAGTTCGTAATGATAAAAATGAACCGTGAGGTAAAAGTTTCACTTAATGACTGTATTTTCACCTGTGTTACATGCGGCTGTGTTAAATACATCTATCTTGTACAAGTATTTCCTGTAACTTGTGAAAACTTTAGTAGAATAAGAAAAAATGCACTCCTTTAAATTTTGGTTTTATAGCAAATTTGTGGGCAGCAATTTAAGCCTCTTTTCTAACACCTATTTTGCACTGTGTAAAGTAACCGGAGCTGGAAGACAGAGCAGAGCATTAATGCAAATAGGCAAACTGGAGAAAATAGTTGCAATTAAAACTATTAAAACAACAGGATTAAGATGTTTCACTCACAAATATCATCATTATGTCAGTTTAATTCCCGGCCCTTATAGGTTTTAAAACCAGAAATGATTGTTATGATAACAAAGTCATAGGACTTCCCAGACTTCTTCAGAGATGAATTAGGTGGCTTGGTGTAGAACCTATCTTCTATAAACCTTCTAACCCTGCGAAAAAAGTCCAGAAATCTGATGATGGGAAATCCACCAGGACTTTTGTTAAGTGCCCTAGCAATTATGTGCTGTTCCTCTAAAAATATTTGGTCTCATTTTCAGTCTGACCTGGTATAGCTTCAACATTCAACCATCGGATTGTGTTGCCTTTGACTGCTAGCGTGAAGTTTCCCTGGGTAGCAAACCTCTGCTCCTTGTGTAGCTGCAAGTAGCTGTGAACAAGTCATGCCTTAACCTCTTCTTTGCTAAATGTGGTAGGCTGAGCTTCCTAGGCTTTTCCCTCTGGTGGAAAAACTTGTAGTACAGTGAAAAATTCCAGGAGGTCAGCCTGTCCCACTGTAAGCTTTTCCATCCTTTAATCACTTTAATGGTCCCCTCTAATTTTTTAACATCCTCTGTGAAAACTGAATGCCGGAACGGGACATAGGCTGTAGGAACAGCAATGCCAAGCGCAAAGGTAATATGAGTCAATATATCCATGTTTCTGCCCGCAAAGGTCATATCTGCCCCATTTGCTATATATGGGAGTTCATGGTTAGGGTTTTATATAGGAGTACCTGCACACATTGCTCTTCCATGCGGAGACGAGGCTTATCATTGATAGCAGGGATGCTGATTGCTTGCACCCAGCTTACAAAAAATGCCACTTGATGCTAGATATGTACCCTCTCCGTTATCATTTTTTCTAGTTCTAGTGCCATCTGTAAAGCCTGTTCAGCCAGTAAAAATGTATATTTTTCCCAAGTCATAGTAATACAGACTCCCATATCAGAGCAGACCAGAGCTTTGTTTGCTCCAGTGCAAATTAGGTAACCCTTCAAAGCAGTTTACAGGGTAACAACAGTTCTTAATATCCCAGTCATGGTGAGTTCAGGAAATAGAATGTGGTCTGTTTAACATGGGAAATGATTATTCTCCTGTCACCTGAGACAATACGCTGTGGTGTTACCACAGTAATTTCATATTACTTCGGATATTCTCAGGGTATTGTGAGTTTTCAGTAGTGGTGGAAACAGACAATAGGAGTGTTGGGCAGAGACAATATTTAAACGTTTGGCTCCCACCGAACTTCCTTCAGTTTTTTCGTTCCCAATGAATTTCGTTATTAACATCAATATTTGTGCTGTTTGGGAGGTGTCAGGCAGCAAATTGCAATGGAGGGAGATCAAACTGAAAATGAAAAATCATCCACAGACACAGATGAAGAGAGATTAGAGAGGAAAAAGAAGGATTTCTGTAGGTGTGTCGTGCTTCTGTGTCCAGACAGAACCGATGGTGTCAGCCTGTTGCCTGTCCCACTGCAAACTACACAGAAAAACATGTGGGGATTAAATTCTACACCTGCTGAAAAGTGAATATTTATGGATAATCCTCACAGAAAAGGATTAATGATTTTATTGCCTGAATGAACTCAGAGAACTGTCCACGAGCCATGCCACCTTTCCAGAACCAGCGCTTACTTTCCCTTTTTTGTTCACCCCTCACACGCTCCATATAAACCTGTTTCACTTTGTCTCAGGACCAAATCATTCAGTCTTCTCCCAGGCAAACTTTCCACTAACTGCAATGTAACCTGCATCTGTTCCATGCAGCCTATGGTTGCATGCTTCCTGTTGCTGCTTCTTTACCTAGATTCAGGTCCTACACGAGGGTCTGCGCTCTTTCTGCGGTATAATGGCTATCACCTCTGTGAATTGCAGCCGTGACGCCCTGTAGTGAGAACCAGGTGGAAAAGGGGATGCTGCGGGACAGAACGAACTGGCTTAAGTATTGGTCAGTGTGCCAAGACCAAGCTATAGATAAACGAATGGCCCCTTCTTGTTCTGATGGTAACATGACGGCCTTTAATAGGATTTTCTGAGTTCTTTCTCATCGGCCTTCCTACAGTTGTGAAGTAGGTATTCCTGTTGAGGACTAGGCGTTCCTGTGGCGAGCAGCACATAAAAAGAAAAGGGTCACAAACCTAATTGTCAGTTGTCATTGCTAATGACACACAATGTTAGGATGTGGCAGAATCAAACACAAAGCCAGTACATGAGGAAATGAACAGAAATGCTAACTATTTTTGTAGCTTGCATAGCTTGTGATGTTTAGTGAAGTAAAGTCTCTGCATATTCTCGGCGCTTAGCTACTATTGAACTTTCAAATAAAAACAAATGGAGTTTTCTTCCTAATGGTAAGCGCTTTGTGAGCACTGTGGAAGTCCGGCATTGTCTTCAGTTGCTTGGCCAGCCTAGTGCTCAAGAATGCTTCTGTAGCCACAGATATCTGGTACTCTTTCTCCCTGTCCCTGCCTTCAACATACCCTGCAGCTTGCATTCATTTTGGGCCCTGGTGAACCAAGGATTTATTTCATTAAATTATCAAGGAAGGGGTACATGGCAGATTTGAAAAGGGCAAAATTGGTAAGTTATACTGCTGATAGGAAGGGTAAGCAGAGAAGGGTTTACTCACACAGCTGGTGTAGGG